AGGAGGTCCGGTTTGGGGGTCACAGGATTTTATCTCTGCTATTTGCGGACGATGTTGTCCTGTTGGCTCCAAAAACCAGGACCTGCAACATGCTCTGGAACGGTTTTCAGCCAAGTGTGAAGCAGCTGGGATGAGAATCAGCACCTCCAAATACGAGGCCATGGTGCTCGACTGGAAAAAGGTGCCTTCCCCTCTCCAGGTGGGTGGAGTGGTCCTTCCTCAAGTGGAGGAGTTCAAGTATCTTGGGGTCTTGTTAACGAGTGAGGGAAGGATGGAGCGTGAGATTGATAGACTGATTGGTGCAGCATGTTCAGTGATGCGGTCGCTGTATCTGACCGTCGTGGTGAAGAGGGAGCTGAGCCGAAAGGCTTTGGGTAATGAGGAACATGTGTACCGAATTTCGTGGCTCTACGACAAACCTGACCTCAGACCCCTCCAATAGGCTGAATAAAATGGCTTTTGTAGGGGGCGCTGTTCTAGCATTTTTTTAGTCCCATACAAATAAACACCAAAATAATAAACTTTTCGCTGGGTCTGATTTTTGGGCTAAATATGGCAAGTTTTCATGCATGTTCAGGGGGTAAAATTAAGGCTCAAAGTGCAGCGGAAATAAATAAATAATAATTAAAGCCGCAAGCGGCATCGAACCGCCCTCGCCGCGGCATGCGACTCGCCGCGGCATGCGACTCCCCGCGGCGTGCCACTCCCCGAACCGCAGGACTTGCCAAACCGCACGAGCCAACACATGCGCGAGTTGCGGGGTACAAATCAGACTCTATACATGTGCTCCTGTTTACACATACAATCTGTGATTGAATGACCATGTGACGCAGCATTTTCCTAAAGCCCTGATGGGAGCGACACTGTGTATTTTGAATGTCTATGATCAATGTTTGTGTGTCTCTATTGAAAAACTAAACCTCAGTCTCCCCATGCAACACTGCGGACAATGTTGGCTGGACTCAATCTGTAGGGGGCGCTTATGCAGCAATTTCATGTTTTACACTTTCAGTTTACCCAAACTCGAGAGTTGAACTATCTAATACAATTTTGAGCAAATCAGACTTTGCATGTGCAAACGTCGGTCATTTACTTTGTATAATAGCTCCCCCTACAAATAAATGTTTTTAGTCTTATGCCAAAGACATCAAAATAATTCATTTGTTGCCATCAACACCAAAATATAAATTTTTTTGCCAGGTCTGATTTTTGGGCAAAATTTGGCCAGTTTTCATAAATTTTTAGGGGGTCAAATTAAGGCTCAAAGAGCAGAAGAAAAAAGAAAGAAATAAACCAAGGATTTTTTTGAAAGTCTCTGAACAAAAACAATATAGGTTTCAATGGCACATGATGCATCATTTTAAAGCGTTTGAGTTCACGCACGCAACCGTCACGTTTGGTGCCCGTCACGCACCGCTACCCCTTGCATTCACCATTATGAAAGCAATAAATAATAAATTAACTAACTAATAACTAATAAATAAATAAGTATTTTTTTGTTACATCTCTCGACCAAAAACAGTATGTTTCAATGGCACATGATACATAATTTTAAAGCGTTTGAGTTTTTCAGCGCTCGGGCCAAATTGAAATCCGTAAGGGAATTAAAACACACATTAAGATTACAAGAAAAAGTACTTAAAAATGAAATGAGGGGCGAAAGTAGCTCAGTTGGTAGAGCACTGGTCTTAAGACCTAATGGTTGTGGGTTAGAATCCACCATGATCGATGTCATCTGCTCCCACTGATGTCTGCTGTCGTTGTGTCCCTGGGCAAGACACTTAACCCCACATTGCCTGAAGTCCTTGCTGAAAGACCAAAGCCTTGTCTTTGATCACGGAGAAGCCATCATCCCGTGGACTCAACACCTGCAGGAGGATCAGCGAGGGACTGGTGCATTGAGACTTGGGCCGACCCAGAAATTGAATAATAAAGGGTACACTGTAAACCCTAACTTCAATCCTACTTCAGATATCAAAGTTATTTTAAATAGATTTTTCCCAGTAAGTATATTACTCATTTATTGTTAGTTTATTTAAAGCTTGCCTATGTCACTCAGGGTTTTCTTTGAATTGAACTGTTTCTGTTCAAGTAAGCCTCACTTTTGACATTTTGATGTGTAGAGTCAGGTGTGACAATGTTGGGGTGTCCTGGTGGCTGAGTGGGTAGCACCATTGCCTCTCAACTACAGGGTTCTGAGTACGAATCCCGGTCGGAGCACAAGTAAAAATTTTAACTTTATTGCAATCACTCGAGTTACTTGGTAATATCAAGTAAAAGATGTACTCGAGGAATTCAAGTGAAGTTAATACACAATTTATTTCCATGGTTTTTTCAAGTAAACTTTACTTGTCAGGGTTTACAGTGTAGAAAATGACATGACATGACAAAATTGAAATGATGCCACATTTCACTAAAAAGAGAAAAAATATAATAAAATCATTCAGTTGTATGCACAGCTAAACAAAAGTCAGATTCGGTTCATATGGGACTAAGTCTGCTTTAGAAACTATGTTTTTAATATTAGCAATGTTTTTTTAGATTGCAAAATTCTGCTGATGTTACAGATATGCTGTGACGGTTGAAATTTAAGTCAGAATCCATGATTACTACTAGATTTCTGACCTGATTAGAGTTTTTTAGGGAAAGGGACTGGAGGTGACAGAAAATGCTCTCTCTTTATGTTTCTAGGGACCAAAGACAATCATTTCAGTTTTTTCAGTGTTTAGCTGAAGAAAGTTATTTTGCATCCACTCACTGATCTTTTGGACACAGTGAAGCGAGTCCACTGGTCCATGTTCTCCTGCTGTCAGTGAAACATAGATCTGAGTGTCGTCAGTGTAATTGTGATAGAAGACGTTATTACTGCGCATTAACTGACCTTATGGCAGCATGTAAATATTGAACAGAAGAGACCCCAGGATTGATCCCTGTGGTACTCCACAGGTCAGGACCATTTTATCTGAGACACAGTTTCCGATCTCCACAAAATACTGTCTGTCTTGTAGATAGGACTTAATCCAACTTAGGGCGGTGCCAGCAACAACAACCCAGTCCCCTAGTCTATGTGTAAGGATACCATGGTCAACAGTGTCGAAAGCATCACTTAAATCTAACAGGATTAGGACTGAGACCTTTCCTGCGTCGGTGTAAAGTTCATCAACAGTAGAATACAACATGTTCTCAAAGTGTATAATTTCCCTGAACAGTTCACTCGTGTTTTCATTTATGTGTCTTCTAACAGTTGCAGATTCAGCTGACGGTTTACTATCAAGACACATGTAAAAAAACAAACAAAAAAACAGAAATTATTGGAGAAAGCAACATCAACCAAATTTACATTTAAAATACTGACCCCCTTAGTAATTAACAGGTCGAGAGTGTGCCTTCTGCTTTGGGTGGGGCCACTCACATGAATGAGACCAAAGGTTTCCAGTACAAAACTCAGCTTTTTGCATTTCTCTCATTACCATTATCCACATGTATAATAAAAACCCATCAAAGTCTGTGCATACAACTGAAAGCAACTCGGTAAAATGATCAATAAAACTATGACATGACTGCGGTGGCTTATACAGGACTATGAAAAGAATAGAAGAAGATTTCTTTAGTTCAATTTTTAAAGAGGTCTTCTCAAATGATTAAAACTTCCCAAGAGAGACAATATGAGCTTTAAAAACTGCAGCTATGCCTCCCCCCCTTTGGTTCTCGAATTTCGGATTCAAATTTGAAATTTTGTGGTGATGCTTCTATTAAAACTGCACTTCCTGTATTATGGTCAAGCTACTGTATGTTTCAGTCGTCAACATAAAATCAAGATCATAAGAACAGATAAAGTTATTAATAACAAATTATTTGTTGCATTGTGATCTGACATTAAGCATAGCAAGGTTAAAATGAATAACCCAGTGTCAGTGGGTTTAGTTGAATGATTACAAAGAACAGGAATTAGATTTCCAGGGTTGGATTGTCGAACCGCTGTCCTTCTATTATATAGAAATACACATGAGAGCACACACACCAATACGCACACACATTTAAAAGAAGCAGCACAAAAAAACAATGTGTCTCAGTCTGCTGTTTAGTTGAGGAAAGGGCTACATTTAAATTATTAATTAATTAATTAATTAATTTTCTCCACCCCCTTTATTAGACCATTTCTGGGTCGGGGGGTGGCCACCCAATTCTCAAAGCACCAGTCCCTCGCTGATCCTCTGCAGGTGGTGAGTCCACAGGAAGATGGCTGCTACATCAGTGATGCGACAGCCTTGGTGTTTCAGCAGGAGCTTCAGGCAATGTGGGGTTAAGTGTCTTGCCCAAGGACACAACGACACCAGACATTAGTGGGAGTAGTTGCACATTTAAATTACAATTGTCTAAATTGGAAGATAGTACAGGGCAGTATAAAAGATTATATATATTAATTATATTTATAACACATAACAATAATAGCAATCAAACAAGTAGTTGTTCTTTTGTAAGTTGGAACATATTGACATATGACAGTTGTATGGGGTTCAGTCCAAGATGGCAGCGCTGCAGCTCGATTGCGGGTCCGTTTGTTGCAATGGGACGTTCTATTGAGTTTCACCTCTTGGTACTTATACTCTTTGATCAGACTTCACAGTGGTAAGAGGTGTCAGTCAGACCTCACAGCAGCCAGGGTCAGTGTGTTCTACACTTTTTGGAAAAACACAATTCTGGATGTGACTCTTTGCTCCACAATGGATCTGTCACATTCTCACAGTGTTTGTGGGTGTGTGTTGTAATGTCAAGATTAATATTTGAGTACTATTGCATTAAAATCCATTGGTAACATTCGAACAAAGGCCTAACCCTTCTCTTCCTGCATGAATCAACTCATCTCCCCCTTTTGACACTTTATGTTCTTTCTCTCACCTCCTTTTAACTATATCAGTGAAGGCTTAATGTGAACGAGGCAGTTTCTCTCTGATCCGTATGCAGTTTCCATAATGTGTGTCTGTCCATGTGTGTTACAGATAAAGTGGAGGAGATGACACACGCTCAGAAGTCGTCTCCTCTGGACACAAAGATTGCCACCATTAAGCCCCGACCCTCGAGCCGCTGCCTGGTCACCGCCGCCGACTTCAACGTGAGACTCACACAAATAAACATACACATACACTCATACACACATACACACAGTCACACACACACAGACTGATGATGGTGAAGCCTTTCATTCATATTTTAGCTGCATCTTCTCCACTATAATCTAATACAGGACTCCAAATGAGGAAGAAGGCGCTTTGATTAGTTAATCTAATGGGAAAAGAATATTCTGAACCAATCAGAGAGATTGGGTTCAACACGCACTAACTGCAAAAATAGTTATATTAATTGCGTATGTTGTTTTAGTTTGTTGACAGGGGACGGTTTACAATAGAAACATTTGAAATATTTTCACAAAAAGAATACAAAACAATACTCGCTGCGTTGTATTGTTTAGTCACACAACAAGACAAACGGACATAAATATCCACTGGTTGTTTAAATTGTTTACATGAAGATGTCTTCATCTTGTCTTCAGTCTCTGTACCACGATCGCCAGGGCGTGGCTGTGGTGCCCCCTACAATCCCAGGAGTGTTCCTGGGGCTCCCAGAGAAGAGTGGCCTCAAGAAGCAGAAGTCCACCGGTGAGAACAGCAGGTTGACCGCAGACTGCTGTGGTCCAAGTTTAGTGCAAAGGACAGACCTTGTGCACATGAGTTTCTGGTTCTCCGTGTCATCTGAGCAGAGACCGAGTTCATACTAATGCTAAGGCGTTGGTTAGCAGAAGGTGCTCACCAATGGATTTCATAAGAAACAATGAGTCACTAAAATCCCACAGAATCCTTCTTTGTGAAAACTAGGTTGCCTGTCAATAGAAGATGAGTTGTTTTAGTGAACACTGAGGTCTCCCCGGAGCCCATGTGGATTTAGGCCTCTCGTCCAGTATAGCGGGTGGTGTCTAGCTATGTGGAGATGGGTCTAAGCTGCTCCAGGCTGTGACCCTGTGTATAGCTGCAACAAAACTAAGAGCAAGAGGCTTGTGTTTGTCAGTCAACAAACACAAGCCTCTTGGGCGGCACGGTGGCTGAGTGGATAGCACTCTCGCCTCCTAGCAAGAAGGTCCTGGGTTCGAATCCCGGTCGGACCAGTGCCTTTCTGAGTGGAGTTTGCATGTTCTCCCCGTGTCTGCGTAGGTTTCCTCCGGGTACTCCGGTTTCCCCTACCACTAAAAATATGTACAATAGGTCTGGGCGCCTCCTATACTGGCGCCTCCTATACCGCCTCCTTTACTGGCGACCCCGCTCCCATCTCTGTGTGGAGCGAGAGGACAAATGCCCTAAAAATAACAATTGTAAACCGCTTTGAGACTCCGATGTGCAGTGAAAAGGCGGTATATAAATAAAGATTACTTACTTACTAGTCAGAAAAAGTCCATTGTGAAGACTGTGCGGGTCAGTGGAGTGAACAGATTTCAAGGGGGAAGAGCTGACCACAACATGCACCTTAAAAGGGCACTAACATTATTAAAAACTATTTTTTTTTCGGGTTAAACACATTAAAAGCATGTATTTCCCACCTTTGCAATGTGCTCCTGCTGCCGCTTTGACACATATAAACCTTAAAATGGATGTATTTTGTACGGCCCCGGGATGCAGCAATGTAAGTTACCAAAAGAAGAGTGTAAACAGCAGTCCCTACGATCTTTGACTTATTCAGAAAAGGCCACGGTCCAAACAAACAGAGAGAAGACACAAGCGCCAGTTCCATGAAATTAGTTCTATCAAGCTCCAACTAAAACCAATTTTACGAGTTTCAACCAGTATTCAGCAGAAAACACAACAACTGTCATTGAACCATAAATCCATGTTTCACTCTAACTACGTTTAGTAAAAGATATAGATATGACACATACCATCATGTTTTAGACTTTAGAACCACAGACACACATTTATATATGACTTTAGAACCACAGACACATGTTCAGAATAAGACCATAACTCTACATGTTTGCATTTGATTGAAGACACTCACCATTTCTCTCAAACTCCACATCTGGAGCTGGGACTAGAGTTGAGGCTTCTGAGTTGCGAGTATTGACGTGTTAGCTGGTGTTAGCTTGTTAGCTGATGTTTGCTTGTTAGCTGATGTCCGTAAAAACAGCGTCAATCCATCTTGTCAAACCACCTCCAGACTTTTCAGTTCTGTCCGCTTTTACGGCTGGGATCTTTAATTTCACAGTAGTCACTTTTACGCTTCTAAACTTTTCTCTGCACTGCGATGTCCCTGATGTACTCCTTCGTCCCTAGCGCTACCTTCGCTAACACTTAGCTATTTACACTCACTCGGGTGCACCATCGAGCTCAAACTGACCGCATCCGCAAACCGGGTCGAGACGGGTCGGACCCGGTCTGACCATAGATCCATACTCCAGCCCGTGGAAACGGCCCTAATGTCCGCAAATGTCCATTTCTTGCAGAATGCTCCTCATCTGAACCGAGTCAGAGTCCTCAAAATCAGAATTACTGTCATAACAAGTACGCAAGGGCTCATAAATAAAAGCCCCTGACTTGTATTGTCCATCACTGAATGAAAAATATCTGTTTAAAACGTCCGTATACAACGTTATGGCTTACAAATGCATATCAACAAAGCCCAATGACACCTATGTGTACGTCACTTCCGGTCTCGGCAATTTTTCCGCGAATGTCTTTTTGCATGATTATTATTGATAGAAACTGCTAAGGGTGAAACTATCTGTCAAAATGAGTTTTATTTAACACAAAAAAATACCACAATATACGAACAAAATAAGATTAGGTCCCTTTTAAGCTAAAGCAGACGATGTTCCACTTTAGTTTAGTTAAAGCAGTCAAAAGAAGTACATAACAACAATAACTGTGGATCAAATATGTCCATGAGGCATATGGGGAATAAGCTTCTTTTAGTCTCTCAGTTGTTTCCCTAATAGACGGAAGCCTCCTTCCAGAGGGGAGCCACTGAAAGTTTGTGAAGGGAATGTCTGCCATAATCTAATGTGCCTTCCTCGCACAGCCCATCATGTACAGCTCTTTGGGCTGAAGCACCTTTGTTCTTATGATACGCTCAGCACTACCCTCCTGAGCGCCTACTTAGAGTCTTTGTCTGGTCTCTATCTGGTCTCTTCTGGTTTCTCTCCCTGGTCTCTCTCCCTGATCTCTCTCTGATCTCTCCCGTCTCTTTCACTGATTCTGACTTACTTCCTGTTTTCACTCTTTTTTTCGCAGATGATGAGAAGCAGGGTTTCCTCACTCCTCCGTTGCTCAAGTTTTCCCGCAGTTTGTCGATGCCTGATACGTCTGAGGACATCCCTCCTCCTCCCGCCAACTCACCCCCCTCTCCTCCTGGTTTCACCGGCAAAAACTACGCCACTAGCAGAGGTGAGGCCCAAGGTCTCTAACAAGTACACGTGTTAACCAGTGGCTTCAAACCTGTCCCCCGGGGCAGTGGTTCCCAAAGTGGGGGTCCCGATCCCCCGGGGGGTCGCAAGATGATTTCTGGATTTTTTTTTATTTTTAGAAAATGTATAGCTCTTAAAGTAGTACTAGAATCGACCATGCTGCTATCCAGAATATATAACTACAATATGTGTTTATAATATTTCGGGTGTTCATTTTGACATAAAAAACCGGCTTTGAAGTAGCACTTTTTCACTTCTGCATAGAAACACTAGGGGGCGCCAAATTGCAGCGATGACGTAGGAGAATGATCCTTCACAGCCGTCATGGCTGGAATCTGTATGAGCAGCGAGTTAATAATTGATGTTTGGGGAAGGATCAGACGTTTCACTGTCATCTGTACAAGGTGTAAACATATTTTCATCAGTTTTGTACATAAGTGTGCAACTCTTTTAACCTTTTAGCCTTATATGTGAGACTCAAGCTAATTACTTGGCCTAACGGTCCCCAGTGTTGGGCAAGTTAGCTAGCTGTTACTTGAAATCAAGATATCCTAAAAGAAGCAAGTTGGGCAAGTTAGCTAGCTGTTACTTGAAATCAAGATATCCTAAAACATGCTTACAAGTCTAATATTCATTTTTACATTATGCCAGTCTCACTTTGGTTGCTTTTGATTTATTTACCACAATGTACATCGTTTTTTCAATGATTGCATCACATGTATCATGTTAGCTCTTGTGTCTATGTTTTCAACTTCATCAGCTTTTTGTTCATAAAAGTAAATGTAGGGTAAGAAAATTGTACTGTGGAAGAGCCAGTCTCCAGGATAGAGCCTCGCTGTTCCACAGAGGGGGATCTGAATTTATTTTGGGGCACCAGCAGAACAGTGAAAGTCTGCAACAGATCCAAACTAATCTGCCTCGATCAGTCTCACAATCTGATAGGAGTTGAGTACGAAATCGGCCAGGGATATCAAAAGATTGGTAAAAAGACACTTTGACGATGACTTAAGTTTATCGTGGGTTTATTGACTACATACGAAAATAGAAAAATATCAATGAGGAGGGTTTTGGTCACATTAAACAGAGATGTTAAACATATCACATGAATTACACACTAACGTGGCAATTAGAACAGTCTTACTTTGACGTAGTCCATATTGAAGAATGGGGTATGAAGAGAAGAAGGGGATGGGCAGTCCACATGCTCCTTTGTTCGGGCAGGAGGGAGACACAAAGCCAGCGGGTCCAATCCAAACTTTAAATTCACACACACACACGCCGTCTAGAATAGCGTTGCATGAGGAGGCGTCCAGAGAGCCGGAAAATGGCTGGTGGAGATAGTTCGTGGTCTCCGACAGCGGGTATCGTGGGCTGTCCTCGTGGAGGTAGGGAGGCCTGAGTTGTTGCAGGCCGGAGGTCGCGTAGGAGACGCGTACCTGAGGTTGCTAGGTTGATTGCAAGGGATGCCAAGAGAAAGATTCTCTGTGCGGCTTGTGGTTTTGTTGTATTCCAAAGGAGGCGCGTCCATGACGTCATCTTTGTGCGTCTCCCTGGACAGACATGTTCAACGGCATATACACAATACACACCTTTTTGACATTCATAACACATATACCGACACACAGCGTATTTACATTACAGACAATGTTACACACGGGTAGAGCCAGTAAAGGTTATCAGAATAATGCCTTCACAGAGCGATGTTTCGAATGTCTATCTCGGGTGGGCTAGTGTTCAGTGTCCACTGGGGGGCGTCAGAACACTGTTGGTGGATCGCCAGTTGTCCCGGGGAGGAATGTTCGTTAGAGTGAGTGCAGGACTTTGATCTCTGAACTCGCCGGGTAGGGGGGCAGAGATGTTTAGTCCTGTAGTCAATTTATTGCCCCAGGTTGACGGTTGTTATTTCTATGACCGATGATAGTTCTCCATTCGACCCTCTTTATTCCTCAGATGTAACTCAGGAGGGTCGTTCCCGGAGCGTATGTTTACTTTATCCTGCTTGCTGGCTAACGTCTGAATGGAGCCAGGTTTCGCTGAGTCGTGTCCTCTGTGTCACCTTACATAAAATATGTATTTAATTCAAGTTATTTTGATTAGCATTTTTGGATATTACAATGTACATTGTGGTAAATAAATCAAAAGCAACCAAAGTGAAACTGGCATAATGTAAAAATGAATATTAGCCTTATAAGCATGTTTTAGAATACTGTATCTTAATTTCAAGTAACAGCTAGCTAACTTGCCCAACGCTGGGGACCGTTAAGCCAAGTAATTAGCTTGAATCCCACATAAAAGGCTAAAAGGTTAAAAGAGTTGCACACTATCAGAATCAAAATCATTTTTATTGCCACGTAAGTAACAGGAAGTCACCGACATGGAAATTGCTTTGGCTCAGTGCAACAGTCAGAAAGAGATAATACAAAATAAATAATAAAAATAAAGAATAAAAAACACTTCTAAGGAATAAGTTTACATTTAAAATAGAGTTACAGTTACTATTTACAATATACAAGTGCACATGGTGCACACAATTTAAGGTGACAGCAGTACAGTGAAGTAAAGTGACGTATGATGGGCAGTAAAGTGACTTTATAAAGGGCGGGGGGACAGGTTAAGAAGTGTTCAAGAGTCCAACAGCAGAGGGGAAGAAACTGTTCTTGTGGCGGGAGGTTCTAGTCCTGATGGACCGCAGTTTCCTGCCTGAGGGGAGTGGTTGGAATAGTCCATGTGCAGAGTGAGAGGGGTCGGCTGTGATACGACCAGCCCGGCCTCAACCTCGGGCGACGTACAGGTCCTGCAGCGATGGAAGGCTGCAGCCGATCACTTCCTATGCGGAGCGCACAATGCGCTGTAGTCTCTGTTTGTCCCTGACTGTGGCTCCAGCGAACCACACGGTGATGGAGGAGGTGAGGATGGACTCGATGATGGCCGTGTAGAACTGCACCAACATCTTTGCAGGAAGTACATCCTCTGCTGGACCTTCTTGATGAGGGAGCTGATGGTCGGCTCCCACTTGAGGTCCTGGGTGATGGTGGTGCCCAGGAAACGGAAGGACTCCACAGAGGTGATGGGGGAGTCCTTCACGGAGGGTGGGGGCGGGGGGACAGTGCTCTTCCTGAAGTCCACAATCATCTCCACTGTCTTCTGGGCGTTCAGCTCCAGGTTGTTACCACTGCACCAGGACACCAGCCGGTCCACCTCCCTCCTGTAGGCGGACTCCTCGTTGTTGGAGATGAGTCCAATGAGGGTGGTGTCGTCCGCGAACTTGATCAGCTTCACAGAGTCGTGGCTGGAGGTGCAGTGGTTGGTGTACAGGGAGAAGAGCAGGAGAGAAAGAACACAGCCCTGTGGGACTCCTGTATTTATAATCCGAGAGTCCGAGACATTCTTCCCCAGACGCACTCGCTGCTTCCTGTCTGTCAGGAAGTCAGCGATCCACCTGCAGGTGGAATCGGGCACGTTGAGCTGGGAGAGCTTGTCCTGGAGCAGGGATGGCAGGATCGTGTTGAAGGCAGAGCTGACGTACACGAACAGGACCCTGGCGTAGGTCCCCGGGGAGTCCAGGTGCTGTAGGATGTGGTGGAGGGCCAGGTAAATGGCGTCATCTACAGATCTGTTGGCTCTGTAGGCGAACTGCAGGGGGTCCAGGAGGGGGGAGGTGAAGGACTTGAGATGGGAGAGGACCAGGCGTTCAAATGACTTCATGACGACAGACGCAAGTGCTTGAGTCCTTGAGTCCTGTGATCCTGGGCTTCTTCGGGACGGGGACAATGATGGAGGATTTGAAGCAGGCTGGGACATGGCAGGACTGCAGAGAGGAGTTGAAAATGTCAGTGAACACAGGAGTAAGCACACTGGCGCAGTGTCTCAGAGTGGCCGGAGACACGTGGTCCAGGCCAGGAGCTTTGCGGGGGTGCAGCCTCAAGAAGAGTAGTTTGATATCTTTAGAGGCTATTGTCAGGGTGGGGGCAGGGCTGATGGGTGGGTCGTTAGAGTAGTGGGGGGTGGGGGAGGTGTCGGGGCAGCATCAAAGCGACTGAAAAAAAAGTTCAGGTCGTCAGCTAGCTTGTGGTCGTCAGCACAGGGGGGGGCTTTGGGCTTGTAGTTGGTGATCTCCCGTAGGCCCCTCCAGACAGAAGCAGTATCGTTGTTACCAAACTGCTCCTGTAGTCGTTCTCTGTGCCGGTGTTCTGTCAAGTTGGTCTGCCCGTCGAGATGATCTGGCTCAGGTGTTAATGATGTAATGCAAACCTGCGCATGTGCGTCTCACGGCAGCCGAAGCAATCCAAGATGGCGGACATGTAGTCCGCGAATTGCTTTTTTTGGCTGCTTTCAGTTCGTGCCTGAACTGATATTTAGCTGGTTTGTAGCCGCTGCGGTCCCCCTCCCTGAAAGCAGACTCCTTTGCTTTCCTGAGCTATGCCGGAGTTTAGCAGTGAACCAGGGTTTGTCGTTGTTATAGATAACCCTGGTCCTTGTTGAAATAATGCTATCCTCGCAGAAGTGAATGTATGACGTCACAGTGTCCGTGTAGTCATCCAAACTGTCCGTGGCAGCTCAGAAAAGGTCCCAGTCTGTAGACTCCATGCATGCGCGCAGCTCTTCCACAGCTTCATCAGACCACACTTTGTAGCTCCTCACTACAGGTTTTGAGAGCTTTAGTCTCTGTCTGTAAGCAGGGATCAGATGTATCATGGAGTGATCTGAGAAGCCGAGGGCTGCTTTGGGAACAACGCGAAACGCTCCGCGCACAGTGGTGTTGCAGTGATCCAGAGTGTTCTCCTCTCTGGTCGGGCATTTGATAAACTGTCTGTATTTGGGTAATTCCTGCTCAAGTTTCTCTTATTAAAATCCCCCAGGATAATAATCAGAGTCCGGGTATAAACGTTCTATACACAGTACTTGCTCTGCGAGTGCGCGCTGAGCCTCGCGCGCGTCCGCGGATGGCAGTATGTAAACAGAGGCAAGAATGAATGAAACAAATTCGCGAGGAGAGTAAAACGGTTTACAATGAATTAAAAGATATTCCAGAGCAGGAGAACAGTGCTCGGAGATCACTGTCACATCGTTACACCAGTTTGTATGTACAAAAATGATGAAAATATGTTTATACCTTGTACAGATGACAATGAAACCTCAGATTCTTCCCCAAACATCATCTATTAACTCGCTGCTCATACAGATTCCAGCCATGACGGCTGTGAAGGATCATTCTCCTACGTCATCGCTGCAATTTTGGCGCCCCCTAGCGTTTGTGGAGAAGTGCGACTTCAAAACCGTTTTTTTTACTTAATTCTTCTGAACATGTCAAAATGAACACACGAAATATTATAAACACATATTGTAGTGATATATTCTGGATAGCAGTACGGTAAATTCTAGTACTACTTTAAATATTTATTTTGCATTTGATTTGATTCAAAAGGACTACTTGTTAAATTGTGTTTGGAGAATATACACTACCGTTCAAAAGTTTGGGGTCACATTGAAATGTCCTTATTTTTTAAGGAAAAGCACTGTAGATAACTTTAAACTAGTCTTAATTGTAAAGAAATACACTCTATACATTGCTTATGTGGTAAATGACTATTCTAGCTGCAAATGTCTGGTTGTTGGTGCAATGTTGTAATTGCTGCAAATGGAGGATTCTTTGACAAAAGGCAAGTTGGATGTAAAACAAATCTTATTTCAAAAACAAATCATTATTTCTAACCTTGTCATTGTCTTGACTCTATTTTCTATTCATTTCACAACGTATGGTGGTGAATAAGTGTGACTTTTCATGGAAAACACTTGGGTGACCCCAAACCTTTGAATGGTGGTGTAATATATTTTAATTATGTTTGTAAATTTGTCCCAGTCATTGACAGCGTCAATCAAAATCAAGTTACGCAGCTTACATCATGCACAGCGACAAAGCGTGTCCTGCTGTGGTTTGCCTAAACTAAAGGTGTTTGGAGGCTACAAACAAAAAATACCTGCTTTAAAATGAAACGTGGTAAATATCCATCCATCCATCCATTTTCTACCCTTTAATCCATTTCTGGGTCAGGGGGGTGGCCATCAGAAATGCCACCCAAGTCTTATAGCACCAGCCCCTCACTGACCCTCTGCAGGTGGTGAGTCCACAGGAGGACGGCTGCTCTCTGAGTGTGAGCATAGCCTTGATCTTTCAGTACGTGCTTTGGGCAAAGTGGGGTTAAGTGTCTTGCCCAAGGACACAACAACAGCAGTCATCAGTGGGAGTCGGTGGAGAAGGTGCAGAGGTGGGAATTGAACCCACGACCTTCTGGCCTTCTGCTCTACCAACTGAGCTACTGTCGCCCCAGTGGTAAATATCCACAAAAGAAAAACCCGGAGGGGGAGAAAAGTCACATGTGAGGTCAGGCTGATGGTGCGAAGAGAGGGAGAGAGGGCAGCGGAGGGAGAGAGGGCAGCGGAGGGAGAGAAGGCAGCGGTAGAACACCGCAGAGAGGCCTGGCTTTTTGGAGTCAGTGGTAAAGAGGTCCGCACATTAAAGGGGGTGGCCGCTTTATGCTGTTACTTGCAGCGGGGATGAGCCGCATAAAGTAACAGCAGAAAGCGGCCGCCCGCTTTTAATGTGCGGACCTCTTTACCGCTGACTCCGAAAAGCCGAGCCTCTTTACAGCGGTTGGAAAAAACAGTGAGGGCGAGCCGCATGAAATGCGCTCCACCTCTGCTAAGAAGGGAACCTGTGTCACTACGTGAGTATAAATACGCAAGCTTCCTTTTTTGGGCTGGACAGTGCAGCTCAGAAGTGGCGTGAGTCTCTATTAAGTGTTACTCCGTATCAAGGAAATACATGCTCATTTCATGTGACGGGAAGGGCTGTTGAGGTGGGGGTCGCGGGGGAGAAGCGCAGTTATGATGGGGGTTGCGGGCTAAAAACTTTGGGAACCCCTGCCCCAGGGGACCACCACCAGGGTCTGGGCGCTGGTCAGTAAACATCATTATTACACACAGTCTGTGTATATGCGAATTTATGCAATAACATATCACTATGTAATTCTAAAATCCCCTTTGTCTAAGTCTGGATTTAAATAAATATACAAAACAAACACTTCTGTCTGTGGTCTCTGGTTTCCCAGGCACGCCTCGGACCGGGTTCAGCCACACATCACCAAGCCGGGACTCGGGCACCATCAGCCGGGACTCGAGCACCCTGCGGAGGGGCTACTACAGACAGAGCTCGGAGCAGTTTGACAGCACCACGCGGTCCCGAGGCAGAGCGCCTGTGCCCGAAAACCCATACTCTGAAGTTGGAAAGAGCCTGTACCCGGTGCCCACAAAGCCAGCCCGGCGCAAAGGCATGTTAGTGAAGCAGTCCAATGTGGAGGACAGCCCTGAGAAGACCGCCCACAAGAATGTACGTCTGACTAATAATAACAAACACAGAGGAGCCATTCGTCTATAGCAGGGGTGTCAAGCTGGTCCTCAAAGGGCTAGTGTGGCCCTTTCATACCCCTGGTCTATAGGCAGGAGGATGAATGAGGCTGTAAACCCAGAACTGAGGCTGTAGATCCAGGACTGAGATTATAGAGACTGAGGCTGGATCAGATCAGGAGGGCCCTAACCTGACTCCACCCATTTCCCCAAATCTTCAGGTTAAGACTGAACTCACTTTAGGAACTGGGTGGAGTCCTGCTTGGTCTGTTGTAAAACTGAGGCAGGGGGTGTGAAATCTTTTCGTATGCACAGCTAAACTAACAGAGCTGGAGGTTGGTGGTGCAAATACATACAAACAACAAATCCAGCTCTTGTATCCGCATCGCACAACACCTTTGAGAAGCACAGGTGGGAGTGACCCAAGGAGGGAGAGATGCGAGGACTGAGAGATGCGAGGACTGAGAGATGCAAGGACTGAGAGACGCGAGGACTGAGAGACGCGAGGACTGAGAGACGCAAGGAAGGAGAGACGCAAGGAGGGAGAGACGAAAGGACTGAGAGATGTCAAAAAAAATTATTTAAACATTTTATTTATTGTTTATTTATTAGGCCCAAGCCCCGAACAGAGGAAGGGCCTATTGCTTTCATAATGGTGAATGCAAGAGGTGGCGGTGCGTGACGGATGCATCAGTGCCCGTCACTTACCAAAATGTGATGGTTGCGTGCGTAAACTCAAATGCTTTAAAATGATGTATCATGTGCCATTGAAACCTATATTGTTTTTGCTCGGAGACTTTCGAAAAAATTCCTTATTAGGCCTGAGCCTAATAACAAAACGTGTGTGTCCTCCGTAAACTCCTCTGTTTTGCTAGCTGCAGCCGGGTGCATCCAATTTCTAAAATCAACCGTCTTACACTTCACCTCTCTTTCTTATCATTCCTATTGTCATTGAAAAAGTACCCTAAGTGCATTTTAAATTATCTTAAAATGTGTTATATGTATTTAGCCAAACCTGTTGCTGTCCTTAGCAGATAAACCAGGAAGAGAAAGGAGCTTATCGATGGAATTGTATGCAGCCGACTTCTGCGCTCACATGCACTCCTCTGAGGCTGGCCTCACGGTGATACAAGCCGTGGTTGAGCGCGATTAAGACCCATATTTGTTTCAAAAACACAATTTATGAGCCATCCTCTCAACTCTAGACATGTAGATTGTAAAGGAAATATATTTTACATCAGCCAATAATTGCTGAGAGGTTTTCTCATCCTCCCTTCTCTCATGACAACACGCGCACGAGTCGTATCACGAAGTAAAAAGAGAAGTTCATCGTGCGTCTTGAGTAACGCGCAGTAACGGGATGTTGGAAATGATAACGACGTTATAGTTACAGTGAAAGTAATTAGTTAGATTACTCGTTACTGAAAAAAGTAACGACATTAGTAACGCCGTTACTAGTAACGCCGTTACTAGTAACGCCGTTACTAGTAATGCCGTTATTCCCATCACTGGTTGTGGGTGATGTCAAGAGTTTGCGTCGAACGGGAAGGTTGTGGTATGGCAATGGCAAAAAAATGCGATAGTAAAGTAATCCAGTCTGGTTCTATCAAGATTGAAGCTGGAGCAAGAGGAATGTTTAGCAAATGTAATCGCTGGAAAAATTGTGGCGCTACTCCCCACGGGCTCCGTTAGCGGCAAAGAAGATAGCTAGGCTAAATGCAAAGAAGATAGCTAGGCTAACTCCTAAATCTGCAAAAGGAGTTAGCCCCTCCTATCTGTAAACGGAGCTCAATGGAGCACCGCCAGACCTTAGTACGTAATGTAATTTGTACTATGGTGTGGTACGACCAGGCTAATGCCAGAACAGCGTCCCCCGCAAAAGCCAATTTATTCAGCCAATGGGAGTTCCTCAAGTCAAGACATAAAAAAAAATCATTATGGCCACGCCCCCTGACAAACAGGAAGCCCATAATTTCCATTGCAAAATGGAAAAATTAAAAATTATACTTTTCACACATGTTGGGAAAACGAATCCTCCTCGGCCGTTTCACCGATTTTCCTCAAAATTGTTCCACATCGTCTAAACACATGCACCATCATTTTGATTTCAGCAAATTTTGATCAATGAAACGTTTTTTGAGCAGCGGAGCGGTAAAAAGTGGATTTTTGACGATAGCAATTTTGCCCCCTTTTGCACAAAGTCCATCCATCCATCCATTTTCTACCCTTTAATCCATTTCTGGGTCAGGGGGGTGGCAATCAGAGATGCCACCCAAGTCTCATAGCACCAGCCCCTCACTGACCCTCTGCAGGTGGTGAGTCCACGGCTGCTCTCTGAGTGTGAGCATAGCCTTGATCTTTCAGTGGGGGCTTTGGGCAAAGTGGGGTTAAGTGTCTTGCCCAAGGACACAACGACAGCAGTCATCAGTGGGAGTCGATGGAGAAGGTGCAGAGGTGGGAATTGAACCCATGACCTTCTGGCCTTAAGGCCAATGCTCTACCAACTGAGCTACTGTCGCCCCAACTGTTGTTACTGAGCTACTGTTGTGGTTGCACAAAGTCTGATTTGCCCAAAACTTGAATCCATTGTTCAACTCCAGGGTTTAGGTCAGGGGTGATCACACTTTTTCAGCATGCAAGCTACTTGTCAAGTCAAAATGATCTACCTACTACAAAAATGCAAAACATATATTTATTTTTAAATATATTGAGGATTCTTTATATCTACAATGTACATGTTGATGTACATGCAAAACCGCATGATTTATGAAATAATTTGCATCCACACATACGTTCATAACATTCCAAACATTTGCGTCCTCTGACTTCCTGTCCTGCGTTGGGGAAAAACCACAGAAGTGGGCGGAGCTTTGATGCAGACGCCGATACTTGTGTGGGGGCACTTTTACAAACTCAGGGTGAAGACATTATTATAGATCCATGGTGAAGACATATGTTTACAAGCACTGACCCCCGTCCTCAGCCTTGGTTTGATCCATAGACTGTATATGTTAACGGACAGAGTCACGCCTATCTCCGCCGTTCTAACTAATGGGCCAAAAAATTTGCTCTACTGGAGCTATCCAAAATGGCCGCGAGTGGTCCCGCCCACAAGAAAATTGTGAAAAAGCGCATTTGCGCACGTCTGCGCAGCTCCATTCATTTGAACGAGAGACTTAAAAAATTCACAGCAAGTAAACTAGAGTGGACCAAAAAAATTCTCCCCCCTCAGCATTGACACACATGTGGAACGGAGCTTTGGGCCAAGAGCCAACTTTTGGTCCATGCTGTAAAGACGTTTTTGAGAGGTCTGCCAATGCTATATGTTAGCATTGGCTAATTCTTCTTCTGGGTCCACCCCCATCGGCCCGGGGTGGTATTGCAAGCATGTCAGCGCATGTCATTTTGGCCACTTTTGAGCTGGGACCCGCCCCCACTGGTTTGATCCTGGTTTAGCTCCTGTTTTGGTTGTTTTCGAGCATGCGTGATAACTTTGCTGCTCTCTGATGTGGAGCGAGGATGTTCGCTGCTGCGAACCGCTCGCTGCTGCGAACCGCTCGCAGCAGCAAACCGCTCGCAGCAGCAAACAGTTTTTAAAGGAATAGTTCACCGTTTTTACATACTGACATATGTTCTTACCTTACCTTAGACTAGTTAATACGTACCTGTGTGATCTTAGTCCGTGCGCTCTGTCATGCAAACGGAGCAAAAACGGGAGGACAAATGCAGCCTCCTCTGTATACTGTGTAGCACCAAAAGGTAGCTCCCGCTAGAAGCTACCAAACTCTTCCAAGTGTTCCCTATTAAATGTATATAGTTACGTGACGTGTTACACTGCAAAGTATAGTAACACAGAAATGTAACTGTCGATTTTCTCAGCGGATAAAACGGGTACTATATTGTGAGGCGTAGTAATCTGAGGAGCGCTACGTCCGCGCACTAACTTCTCTCTGTACTACAAGTCACGCTGCTTCTATTGACGGAAGTGAGCGAGAGAGAAGTCTCCGGACAGAAGTTAGTGCGCGGACGTAGCGCTCCTCAGATTACTACGCCTCACAATATAGTACCCGTTTTATCCGCTGAGAAAATCGACAGTTACATTTCTGTGTTACTATACTTTGCAGTGTAACACGTCACGTAACTATATACATTTAATAGGGAACACTTGGAAGAGTTTGGTAGCTTCTAGCGGGAGCTACCTTTTGGTGCTACACAGTATACAGAGGAGGCTGCATTTGTCCTCCCGTTTTTGCTCCGTTTGCATGACAGAGCGCACGGACTAAGATCACACAGGTACGTATTAACTAGTCTAAGGTAAGGTAAGAACATATGTCAGTATGTAAAAACGGTGAACTATTCCTTTAAGGCATACAACAAAAATGGTGTACAAAGAATATATGACGAAAGACATTTTTTTGCTCTGCATTTGAAGCAAAATGTGCTTTCATCAAGAAATAAGCTGTTCACAATCCTAGCAATAAAAAATATAAAATTGGTTAATAAAGGCACATTTACAAAGACAGTCTGTGCATTCTTTGGCCTTAACATTGTACTTATTAGATTTACAAAGGGTCCCCATGAGTAAATTATAAAAGTGTGTGAATTATGCAAAAAATATGCAAATCTGGTCCTTCTAAGTGACATTGACTCGTTTTTTTATAGGTCCCCACAGTACACTGCCAGAATATCATTTCATCAATTGACACATTTTAAGATGTGTATATGCTTACAATGTTTTGTTAAGTAACTCAATTTTTTTTTATGACTCTAGAACCTCTAGAAAGGGTGGTCCCCACATGTGATGATTTGAAACCTGGTCCCCATCAAGAATGGAAACCAGTATGTGTGTGTGTGACTGTAGTGAGATTAAGAGTGTGTGAGAGTGTGTTTGTGTGTCTGTAGTGAGAGTGTGTGTGTGTGTCTGTAGTGAGAGTAAGAGTGTGTGTGTGTATGTCTGTAGTGAGAGTAAGAGTGTGTGTGTGTGTGTCTGTAGTGAGAGAGTGAGCGTGTGTATATCTGCTCAGGTGAAGAAGGACTGTGTGTGCTCATGTTTGTGTGTCATGTCTCAGTCATGAGCAGTGTGTGTCTCTCTGCATCTGCGTGTGCGTGCATGTATTTGCGTGTGTGTGTGTGTGTGCGTGTGCTCTCATGTGTGACACAATGCAATGATTGTTCAGTGACAGAGAGACTCTAATAATAGCTCCCAACTGTGGCCACATCTGCCAGGGGACCGCACTGAGCACGACACACACTCACACACTACGCACACACACACACACACACACACACACACACAGACACACACTTCACTTTGGAGGGACTCATCCATGGAGTAACAGCAGTTTTCACACATTCAGAGTCAGTTGTTTAACTTTGTCAACAATGTGGTTTGTGCTGTTCTTGTGTTGCTCTAGTGTGAAGTGTGTGTTGATGTAGTGTGAAGTGTTTGCTGTAGTGTGAGTCACCCACCTCAGCATTGACACACATGTGGAATGGAGCTTTGGAATGTCAGCGCACGTCATTTTGGCCACTTTTGAGCTGGGACCCGCCCCCACTGAGTGTGAAGTGTGTTGCTGTAGTATGAAGTGTGTTGCAACTTGCTGTAGTGTGAAGTGTGTTGCTGTAGTGTTAAGTGTGTTGCTGTAGTGTGAAGTGTGTTGCTGTAGTGTGATAGTGTGAAGTGTGTTGCTGTAGTGTGAAGTGTGTTGCAACTTGCTGTAGTGTGAAGTGTGTTGCTGTAGTGTTAAGTGTGTTGCTGTAGTGTGAAGTGTGTCGCTGTAGTGTGATAGTGTGAAGTGTGTTGCTGTAGTGTGAAGTGTGTTGCAACTTGCTGTAGTGTGAAGTGTGTTGCTGTAGTGTTAAGTGTGTTGCTGTAGTGTGAAGTGTGTTGCTGTAGTGTGATAGTGTGAAGTGTGTTGCTGTAGTGTGAAGTGTGTTGCTGTAGTGTGAAATGTGTGTGTTGACGTGTGAGCCCGCAGCTCGTACCTGAGCTCACAGATTAGGGGGGTGTGTGTTGCAGGGATGACCTGCCAGGCTCGCAGCTCGTACCTGTGCTCACAGATTAAGTGTGTGTGTGTGTGTTGCAGGGATGACCTGCCAGGCTCGCAGCTCGTACCTGTGCTCACAGATTAAGTGTGTGTGTGTGTGTGTTGCAGGGATGACCTGCCAGGCCCGCAGCTCGTACCTGTGCTCACAGATTAAGTGTGTGTGTGTGTTGCAGGGATGACCTGCCAGGCCCGCAGCTCGTACCTGTGCTCACAGTTTAAGTGTGTGTGTGTGTTACAGGGATGACCTGCCAGGCTTGCAGCTCGTACCTGTGCTTACAGATTAAGGGTGTGTGTGTGTGTGTTACAGGGATGACCTGCCAGGCTTGCAGCTCGTACCTGTGCTTACAGATTAAGGGTGTGTGTGTGTGTGTTACAGGGATGACCTGCCAGGCTCGCAGCTCGTACCTGAGCTCAGAGATTAAGTGGGGGTACAGGTTCATGCCGGTGCTGACTCTGGAGGATGGTTTCTATGAAGTCGACTACAACAGTTTCCACAACATCTACGAGACCAACACTCCCAGCTGCAGCGCCAGGCAGCTGGCCGAGCTCCGCACCCGCCTGCCCCTCACCTGGTCCCTGGCCTCCAAACTGAACCAGGACCAGGACCAGGATCAAGACCAGGACCAGGACCAAGGCCCCAAGGACACCCCCCTCCTTGAGGACAAGAGTCAGACAGAACGCAATGGAGACATCTCCAAGATAGAGAGCGAGTCCAAAGTGTAGCTGTCAGTCTGCACAGGCCTGGCCCCAGGGCACATGTGGGTCCCTGTAGGCCCCTGTAGGCTCTTGTAGGTCCCTGTAGGTTCCTGTAGGCTCCTGTAGGTCCCTGTAGGCTCCTGTAGATCCCTGTAGCCTCCTGTAGGTCCCGGTAGGCTCCTGTAGGTCCCTGTAGGCTCATGTAGACCCCTGTAGGTCCCTGTAGGCTCCTGTATGTCCCTGTGGGCTCCAGTGGGTCCCTGTAGGTCCCTGTAGTCTCCTGTAGGTCCCTGTAGGTCCCAGGAGAGAACTTCTACCACACCTGCCAAACGTCCCAATGCACAAACATTCAAGCCCTTTAAGTCTGAGACACAGAGACACAGAGACACAGAGACACAGGGACACAGAGACACAGGGACACAGAAACACAGAGACACAGGGACACAGGGACACAGAGACACAGGGACACAGGGATACAGAGACACAGAGACACAGGGACACAGGGACACAGGGACACAGGGACACAGAGACACAGGGACACAGGGATACAGAGACACAGAGACAAAGAGACACACACTCACCATCACTCAAGTCTCAGCATTGTTCAATGAGGACTTCTGACAGGACTAGAATTAAAAGTGAGGCCCCTGTCCCGAGGCCCCTGTCCCAAGGCCCCTGTACTTTGGCTCAAACACTGCCCTGTGCTGAACCTTCATGATATTTGGTCTCAGCAGAAATTACAGGGTCCAATCCATGCACACACACACACAGACACACACACACACACTCACACACACACACACACTCAGACACACACACACACACACGCACACAGACACACACACACAGACACAGAGAGACACACACACACACACACTCAGACCCAGAGAGACACATAGACACACACACAGAGACACACACAGACACACTGAGGACCATGTGCATGTTGACGTCCTCACAATGAGATTATTTTCTTGTGGAGAATCACTGACAGAAGTATTTTTGTACATAATGAGTTTTTGGTTTTGTTTCTGAAGTGAATATTTGAATATTTGACTTTAGTTTTTAGCCGTGACATTCTGCCTTACTGTGTAGAAACTGTAGAAATGTGTTTTTCACACAGATACAAGCATGTTTTACTCCTGTGTTTGTGAGAGTGACTGACACTTTTTATATAAGTTCTGTACTTATTAGCCTGGTCTTACCAAACCATGGTACTCATTTCATTTGGTACTAAGGTCTAGATTTGCTCCATTGACTCCATTAACAGGTGGGAGGGGTTAACTCCTTTTGCAGATTGAAACGATTGGATCTGAGTTTACGTAATGAGCCGTAGTGAGTGAGGCCTTTAGCATTTAGACTAGCTTTAGCCTTTAGCCTAGCTTTAGCCATCTCCTTTGCCACTAACGGAGCCCGTGGGGAGTAGAACCACAACATCTTTGCTACAATGGCATTTACTAAACATTCCTCTTGCTCCGGCTTCAGTTTCTTGATATTTGGATTGAACCAGAACAGTCAATTTGGCCACTTTTGAGCCGGGACCCGTCCACACTGGTTTTTTCACATTTTCCAGCCCCACTGCCATTTTGAAGCTGCCATAGACAGTGAAAGTGGTGGCACATTAGATTCAACGGCGGAGATAGAAGTGATTACAACTGTTAATATTTACAGTCATGGATCAGACCAGTGGGGGCGGGTCCCGGCTCAAAAGTGGCCAAAATGACGTGCGCTGACATGCTTGCAATACCACCCCGGGCCTGTGGGGGTGGACCCGGAATAATAATTAGCCAATGCTAACATATAGCATCTTCTTAACTCTCAAAAACGTCTTTACAGGATGGTCCAAAAGTTGGCACTTGGCCCAAAGCTCCGGTCCACATGTGTGTCAATGCTGAGGGGGTGTTTTGGACCAGTCTAGTTTACTTGCTGTGAATTTTTAAAGTCACTCGTTTAAATGAATGGGGCTCGTGCAGCTGACACATGCGCAGATGTGTTTTTTCACATTTTCCAACCCCCGCGGCCATTTTTAATCACTCCATGGAAGCCCAATTTTTGGCCCATTTGTTAGAACGGCGGAGATAGGCGTGACTACGTTCGTTAATATATACAGTCTATGGGTTAGACCCAGACGTACATGTAGGAGATGATCATGGACCAGAGTTTACACATGGTAAGACCAGATGTAGGAGAGGATCATGGAGGTGATGGTTAGGTAAGACCTGGCTTACTTCTTGTTACAGTTCCACAGTATTTGTCAAACAAACACATTAAAACTGGGACATTTCATAACATACTTTTTTTGTGGTTTTAAAATCAGGTACCCCAGCTTTAGCAGTGGTGGGAGGCTGCAAAACACAAGAGTAAAAGTTCACACTGGATACTTGAGACAGTTATGTGTGATTTTTACTACTAAGAGAGATTTAAGGAGTTTATCAAAGAACATTTTAACGTCATGGTCGGACTGTGTCGAAGAGGGAACTGAACCTCTGCTCTCACAGAGTCCCTGAGCACATGGAAGGAGCTCGCAGTAGACCCGCTACTCCTCCACAGCGACTGGAGCCCGCTGAGACGCTCTGGGCCGGTCCCGCCTGGAGGAGACCCAGGGAAGACCCACTGAGCCTGGACTGAGTGAGAGTGAGGTCTACATGTTCTGCTTAAAGCTGGGGTCCCTAACTTCATACAAGTGAAGGTCCTCAGCATAAATAACAAACCACATGAGTCTTGCACACGGTAAATGCTGTGAACTAATCAGACCACGGCACACAGAGCCCTGAGAGCTGATTGGCTGATCTTCACCTGCACAGTCACAGATACGACTAAAGCTGGAAAGAGAGCAAAACAAAATGGTTCATATTCGATCTTTTCAAAGTGTTTCACATCAAAGACCCAGCCTCCCGCTCACAGACCCGTGTTCTGGGACCAGTCTCATGTCCAGGGCAGGACTTGAACTCACAACCTTCAGCTCAAAGGACACCCGCTCTGCTGCTTTCCCGAGTAATCACCATGTACCAGTCCAGGACCACTGTGGATCCTGACTCACACCCAGAGACACAGAGACCCTGCTCGCTCGTCTCTCTCTGCCTCAGTCTCAGTCTCTCTCAGTCTCAGTCTCTCTCTGCCTCAGTCTCTCTCAGTCTCAGTCGCAGTCTCTCTCAGCCTCAGTCTCAGTCTCTCTCAGTCTCAGTCGCAGTCTCTCTCAGTCTCAGTCGCAGTCTCTCTCAGTCTCAGTCTCTCTCAGCCTCAGTCTCTCTCAGTTTCAGTCTCAGTCTCAGTCTCTCAGTCTCAGTCTCTCTCAGCCTCAGTCTCAGTCTCTCTCAGTCTCAGTCGCAGTCTCTCTCAGTCTCAGTCTCTCTCAGCCTCAGTCTCAGTCTCTCTCAGTTTCAGTCTCAGTCTCAGTCTCTCAGTCTCAGTCTCTCTCAGCCTCAGTCTCAGTCTCTCTCAGCCTCAGTCTCAGTCTCTCTCAGTCTCAGTCGCAGTCTCTCTCAGTCTCAGTCTCTCTCAGCCTCAGTCTCAGTCTCTCTCAGTTTCAGTCTCAGTCTCTCAGTCTCAGTCTCAGTCTCTCTCAGTCTCTCAGTCTCAGTCTCTCTAAGCCTCAGTCTCAGTCCCTGGTGTAAATATCTTCTTCTGGTGTTGTTCTGTGGTGATGCTCCTGAACCCTTTAAACACTTTTGCACAGCCGCGGCCTTCACTTCACTCCCCACCTCCTCTTTACTCCCCTTCTCTCTCCACCTCCTCTTCTCTCCCCACCTCCTCTTTACTCCCCTTCTCTCTCCACCTCCTCTTCTCTCCCCACCTCCTCTTTACTCTCCACCTCCTCTTCACTCCCCACCTCCTCTTCTCTCCCCACCTCCTCTTCTTTTATCCGCTCTAATAAAACTGAATGATTATTACAAAGCTGCAGAGTCTGTGTCTTCAGTCCCAGGAGTGTTCGGGTCGAAGGAAACACCATCTGCCTGTGAACCATTGTTTTAAACCTGGACATAGTTTCCTGGTTTTCCTGCGGCTCATAAACGCAGTGTGGCTGGACTCGCCTTTCACAGAGCTGACCTGTAACTGTTGTATTTTAGCTAGTGTTGTGTTCAATAAAAGAGGATCCAAGATAGACACACACACAGATACACAGACACACACAAGCACACAGACACACACAGATACTTTATTGATCGTAGGAGAAATGCAGGTGTCCAGTAGCAACAAAAATAAAACAATTGATCATTCTAAAAGTATTTAACAACAGCCTCAGGTCACAGCAGCAGAGGAGGAGCTTGGTTCTGGTCTGGACCAGTGTAAAACCATGAATCCTCTCTGCTCTGGTCTGGACCAGTGTGTAACCATGAAAACTGAACTGCAGCAACATCTCAGGCAGAAAAAAGAACCCAGGACCTCCTTGCTGAGACGCGAGAGTGCTATCCACTCAGCCACCGTGCCGCCCAATGGGGAGTGTTTGTTGTTGCCACGGCAACAGGGTAAAAAATAAGTAATTGGTCTCAATAACTTTTTTAATCAAAATCCCCAAAATACATTATCTGCAAAATTTCCAACATTTTGAAAAAACTAAGTATCTTTTGGCCCATGTAAGACTTGACTCAGTCTGTAGGGGGCGCTAATGCAGCAATTTAATTTTTTACACTTTCAGTTCACCCAAATCCAAAATTTGAACAATCAATTCAAATTTTGTGCAGATCGAACTTGTTTTATACCAATGAACACCAAAATAATAAATTTTATGACAGATTAAAAATTTGGTGAGTTTTCGTGTTTGTTCATTGGGTCAAATATGAGATCAAACAAGAGAAAGGTGTACTTGTCAGACATTTAACGATTTTCCCATAGACACAGAATGGGGAGTGTTTGTCGTCGCCACAGCAACAGGTTAAAAAATAAATCTTGGTTGTGATTGACTTTTTGAATCCAGAGGACAAACCAGAATTATGTGCCAAATTTCAAACATTTTGAAAAAACTAAATATGATTATCCCCATGTAAAACTTTGACATAGTCTGTAGGAATTCTGTATGTGCTAACAGGAGCAAATTTGCTAATGTCAAAAATGGCAAACAACATTTGCCGCGCCGCTGCTCAAACAACGTTTCACTGATCCAAAGTCATTTTGATGGAACATGTGTTGAGATGATGTGGAGCGATATTGAGACAAACCGGTGAAACGGCCGAGGACGAGTCGCTTTCCAACCGACATGTATGAAAAAAATTATTTTTAATTTTCCCATTTTCCATTGAAATTGATGAGCTTCCTGTTTGTCAGGGGGCGTGACCAATATATATATAGTTTTCATGTCTTGACTTGAGTACCGAATTTCGTGGCTCTACGACAAACTTGACCTCGGACCCCTCCCATAGGCGCAATGTAAACTGACTTTTGTAGGGGGCACTGTTCTGGCATTTTTAGTCAAATAAAAATAAACACCAAAATAATCTTTCACTGGTTCTGAATTTTGTTTTGTTAAACACAAAACAACAACTGTTTCTGTGGCACTTAGGACTCGCTGCTGTTTCCAGAACATTCAAAAGTATTTTTTTTATTTTTACTCATTTAAGAGCTCAACTCCGTAGCACAAAGTTACACATATGCAAATAGTTCAACAGTTATACCAAAGGAAGAATGACTTTACTAACGTATGAAGCTAACATGCTACATGTAATGCTGCTTTCCAAAAAGAGTGCAGATTATATATTTTATGTCTGGGTTTTGGGGTTAACTCTTCAAACTCAAAGCCTGTGTTGTGAAATTTCTGCACAGACTGAGAGCAAAAATAATGCAAACAACCAAGAGCTGCAATACAATCAAAGTGTGAGATTATTCATTAGTAAATGTGCACATATAAAATGAAGAACAGAACCGATACCACCTGCAGCTCTGAAACCGTCTGAAACGAATGAGGAAACATTAAATAGACCAGAGTGAACAAAGACATATCTACTCTAGATATTACACAAATGAAGTCAGTATTGATATGTGTCGCTCAAGGCTTCTCTCTACGCTTCCTTACTCTGATACAACTCTGATACTTGTATTAATCTGCTTTGACCTGAACATATTGTTCTTTGACAAAGATATTGCCAAAGACATGTTGCAGCCATAGACTGTATATATTAACGGACAGAGTCACACCTATCTCCGCCGTTCAAAGCATAGACGTCTCCATCGGTCAGCTGACCTGCTGCCAACAGACCATATGTGCTGTATCTGAATCTAGTGTTGAGAATTAGTTAATAACTTACACCTATAACTGTTTTATGTTACTTCAAATTGCTTTACTAAAAGATTTCTATATCACCTGTTTTTAGCTTAGTGCACTAAACTGATCCACTGCAGTACACCAAGCGGCCAGCAGAGGGCGAAACGGCTCTGTCAGATCTGTGTGTGGGGGTTGCATCTGAAACCATCTTCCTCCTTCCTTACTTTGTTTGAGTTCATCTTTAATGAAACACAAACGTTTCAGGTTTGATCAATAACAACTGGACACTTTTGAAAAATGTTTTTATAAATTCCACCTTAAACAGATTCATAAACGAGGACCATAGGAGGCGGAACCGGAAGCAGCGCTTTACGTAACACGAAAAGTGGAACAAAGGTTGAAGTGAGAGAACTGGGTCAGAAGTTTCTCTCCTTTCACAGGTCACATTGGTTCACTTTGGCCTCAGAAAGTTGCGTCAGATACAGAAATTTTGAGTATACAAAGTATTGAAAACTTTGATTTGAAGAACGCGTATTTGAAGTTTTACCAGGTTTGTGAAGACGTCACACGCAGATTATCACACAATAATGCAAATCAATGAAATTGTTGGATCAGGTCTAGGGCCTCAGGGAGGAGCAGGGCCCTGTTCTCACACAGAGAGTGAGTTTTCCTGAAACAACTGATGCAACTAAAGAGAAAGATACAGAATCAGAGGTTAGGTCTGTGCAAAAGTCCACGACAGCAGAATGTGACCTGGAGGCGCCAAAGAGGGAAGAAGAGAAGGCGGCTTCTGGGCACACACACACCTACACAACAACACACGCGCTCTGTGATACTGCTCCATTCTGTACTGTGTGGTCTGAGAGGGAAGAAGCTGGAACATCAGGAAGACCAGCTTTGTCCTGGACACAGTGCAGCAGGTGGGGGACAGGAGGCTCCTAGACAAACATATATGTGGACCATAACGCCCCCTGCAGGACACTGTCTGCTCTAGAGAGCAGCTTCATTGACAGACTGCTCCACCCTCACTGTGTGAAGTAGAACCATGTTTGTCACCGTCACTTTAGTCTGTGTCTCAAAACCTCATGCTGCTAATAATTATTTCTGCTCTAGAAAATACACTTTATACGTCATTATGCTAAAGTTAGATGTTTTTTATAATACTGTTCATGTACCGTGTGCTCCTCATTCTAACTGTGGATGCAACGCTAACATTTCCCTGAGAGACACACAATAATGTGTTGTATAAATGTGTGTTTACAGATGAAGAACAGACACATTTACAATGCTTTATAATCCAATAAGAATCATAAAAAACACATCAAAGAAAGCCAGTAACGAGTACAGAAGGCTGC